TCTAGAATTGAAACTTGGTTGCTTGAGTGGCGCTCAGAGCCAGCTGCGGCCGGGAAGCTTGGCTTCCTCCATCATTAGGGCAACCAAGCCTCCTGCTTGCTCCAGCTCCATGCCCTTGACCGGAATTGAACCTGGACCATTCAGTCTGCAGGCTACGCTCTATCCACTGAGACAAACCAGTTTGGCGGTATGGTCAATTTAATGTTTGTCTTTATTAGTGTAGATTGTCCTGAGGCAAGGTGGAGATACACACTTCAAAGGGTCAGGGTTTGTATACAGAGTCCATTGTCAGATTGGGGAGAATAACCTACGGCTGTTCAGGTGTTTGGCCAGTAGGAGGCAATAACATGTAGATTAAGAAAAAGGCAAATCTACATACATACCTGAGCTGTCTGGCAGCAAACAATCAATTTAACACATTTCATACTGCTCAGGAGTTTTCTCGTGTTTCGCGCGCCATTTGTTAAGGACCGCTCACGAGTGTTCTCGTTTTTCACGCCCATGGAAAAAGGAGCGAATCTAGATACTTATGTAAATTTTGTTTGGTCCCTCTTCATAGAGGAAAATGTTTTACGCAGTACCATACGTTAAAAAAGTACTAGGAACTTTAATTGTTTAATTGTTTTTGTAAATAAAAATGTTATAATTATTGAAAAACAACTCCTAAAGTGCATTATGATGATTTAAATAACGTGCAGTTTGCCCAAAAACGTGCGGTCCATGGCATATGTCTTAGAGGTTTCTATGCGGTACACAATGTGTTAGTATATCCTATTCAGGTTTGGGGAAATGCCATTAGCCATTCCCAACAGGTGACAACATATGTGACTCAGCCCTTTTTGAGTCCCCAAGTTCCATCAACCTGTTGATGAAACTCTTGCAATTATGACATGCTAGAATTGGCTTCCGGCATTGTAACCCTAGCTGGTTTTGCTCAGTGGATGGAGCATCAGCCTGCAGACCAAAGGATCCCAGGTTCGATTCCGGTCAAGGGCACGTACCTTGGTTGTAGGCTCCTTCCCCACCCGGGCCCTGGTCGGGGCTCATGCAGGAGACAACCAATCCGATGTGTTTCTTTCACATCGATGTTTCCCTCTCTCTTCCACTCTCTGAAAAAATGAATGGAAAAATATTTTCAGGTGAGGATTAACAAAAAAACAAAAAAAACCCACACACACAAAAAAACCTGCAACAGCATTGAGTTAAGTAAAGGCCGCCAATGGGGTAGAAATGTTTTATTGAAGAAAAAAAAAAGACATTGTG